CATCATAGTCCAAATAAAAATAACTTACTCAACAATAAACAAATGTAAACTCTTTCAACATTGCACCTGGTATTTCTATCTAAGGTAGATCTACGTCCCTCATAACTGTAGTAATGGCCTCACAACAACCGCTTTGAGGTAAGGAGACAGTATCCCCATGAGTAAAATGGGGAACTAAGGGCATGTCTTCACTGCAGAGTTAACATGATGATCAGCAGCCGGGTTAGCCTAGCCTAGATGTGAGCAGCCACACTGCAAAGCTCTGCCTGAATTATCGGGTCCTGACTTGTGCTTCCCCCACATGAGTCACCTGGACTTCTGGTGTCGTGTCCCATGTTTCTATGTGCCACAGCGAGCTGAGCCGCTGTGATTCTTTCCCTGTGTGCTGTGGGAGAACTTATTAGTCCTTTTGGGCACACCAATAGGGGTGGATTGTGAAGAACTATCAGCACTCAAAAGGTTTAGCCTGTGCCCTCATAGCAGAGTCGGTGGGGCCTGGATCCATAAATGCACTTGGGCACCTAAGCCCCATTTTTAGGCTACAAGCTAAAACCCAAGTAAGGCTTTCACTCGGGCTGGTAACCCAGGCCCAGATGGATCTACATGTGGCATGTGATCCTGAGTGTCACAGGGCCTAACTTTTAGGCACCTAGGAAGGTCAAAGAAACAACACTGAGATCCACAAAGCCTGTGTTAGACACCTAAGTTCTCTATACAATGCATGGGGAGAGACTTGTGCCTCAGAATGCAATTCACAAAAGCCAGCACAATCTACAGTAACAGTCAATGGAGCAGGGGGACTGAACTCCAGATGTCCCTCGTTGATACCATAACCACCAGGCTACAGAGCCATTCTCACATGCTCTTTTGCCTGTGTCGATTTAAGTAGCCTCCTCCGGCAGCCAGATTTTGAATGGGGCCTGATTTGGCAGATGTGCTCAGACCACGTTTCTTGGATCAGGCCGCAGATTAATTAGGCGGAACACAGGAACATAAGAACATAATATAAAAATGGCCATATTGGGTCAGACTAACGGTCCATTTAGCCCAGAACAGGTGATCTCAGGCACCAGCTTCCTCCTTTCCATGGGTGTACTCAACCCCCGCTCAGCCTCAGGCCCTGCCCACACTCCACCCCTTCCTCCAAGCTCCCACCCTCCCCCTGAAGCACCCATGGAGTCGGTGCCTATGTAGGTAATCATCAAGCGATCCATCCCCTGTCACCCATTCCCAACTTATGGCAAACAGAGGCTAGGGACACCATCCCGGCCTATTCTGGCTAATAGCCATTGATGGACCTATCCTCCATGAACTTATCTAGCTCTTTTTGAACCCTGTTATAGTCTTGGCCTTCACAAATCCTCTGGCAAAGAGTTCCACAGGTTGACTGTACATTGTGTGAAAAAATACTTCCTTTTTATTTGTTTTAAATCTGCTGCCTATTCATTTCATTTGGTGACCCCTACTTCTTGTGTTATGAGAAGGAGTAAATAATACTTCCTTATTTACTTTCTCTACACCAGTCATGATTTTATAGACCTCAATCATATCTCCCCTTAGCCGTCTCTTTTCCAAGCTGAAAAGTCCCAGTCTTATTAATCCCTGCTCATATGGAAGCTGTTCCATCTCCCTAATCATTTTGGTTGCCCTTTTCTGAACCTTTTCCAATTCCAATATATCTTTTTTGAGATGGGGCAACCACATAGAATCATAGAAGGTTAGGGTTGGAAGGGACCTCAGGAGGTCATCTAGTCCAACCCCCTGCTCAAAGCAGGACCAATCCCCAATTTTTGCCCCAGATCCCTAAATGGCTCCCTCAAGGATTGATCTCACAACCCTGGGTTTAGCAGGCCAATGCTCAAACCACTGAGCTATCCCTCCCCACTAAAGAGCAGAAGCTACACTCTCCATCCAGCACACGGAGTGGCCAGCATGGGGCTTGAACCCATGACCTTGGCGTTATTAGCACCACGCTCTACCCAGCTGAGCTCGCCAGCCCACACAAATACTGCATCCAGTATTCAAGATGTGGGCGTACCAAGGATATATATAGAGGGAACATGATATTTTCTGTCTTTTCCAAAGAGAGGAACACATATCATCTTCCACTTTGTGAATCGCACTGGAGTTTAGGTATGAGACAGGCTTCCAGAGGCCTACAGTGAGGCAGCAGTGCACATGCCCAGAGGCAGGAACTTAAGACACCTAGAGAACTTATACAGTGAAAACTTAAGTTCCTAAATTCACTTGGTGCCTATAGGGTTAGGCGGCAGTCCAAGCAGCGGTTTTATGGGTCATAATGGTGCCTAAAATCTGGGGGTGTAGGTGCCTAAATCCCTTTGTGGCTCTGGGCCATAGTAATTAAGATTGAGATAGGCATTCCAACCTAAATCCACTTTTTAGTTGCCTATATTTTGCTTTTTGGATTAAAATTTTATCATGCTTGGTCTGATCCTAAGGCTGAAATTTTGGCAAAAGCTTGAGGAAAAATAATAAATCCAAATACAGAATTTTAAAACCACCCCATCGAAAGTAATAGGGATTTATCCCTGCTGTAGAATTCTAAAGGTCGGTTTAAACATTCCGCAGAAAGGTGATTGTTCTCTATTCAATTCTATAGGACTGTTCCATAAGGGATATCTCTGTGCTATGGTCTGAGAGATCTGTAAGTAACTGTCCTTGATCACCATTCTCATGGGTTCTGAGGATGTCACATTAGTGATAGTCTCATGCATATAAAGGGATAGATCCTCAGCAGGTATAAAGTGCTCCACTGAAATCAAAGACAGAAGGAAAGATGGCCCAGTGATTAGGGTGTTAGCCCTGAAGTAGGGCTAGAAGATCCATATCCAATTCCCTGCACTGCCACAGATGCCTTGTGTGATCTTGGGCAAGTCACGTAGGGGCAGATTTTTAAAGGTATTTAAGCACCTAAAGAGGTACATAGGCACTTGGTAGGATTTTCAAAAGCACCTAGGTGACCGATTCCTATTGTGGGAGTGAGGCACCTACAGTGCTTTTGAAAATCCCACGAAGTGCCTATCTGCATCTTCACTTGTCTAAATATCTTTTTAAAAAAATCTGTCCCTTTGTCGCTCTGTGCTTCAGTTCTCCATTTTCACATTGGAGCTAATAGATCTTCTCTACTCTAAAGGGGTGTGTGAGAGTAAATGCATTAAAGATGGTGAGATACCCAGATACTATGGTAATAATGGCCATATAAATACCATAAATAGCTGTGTATTTGGACCAGGGTATTTTATCCACTCCTCAAAATTTGCCCAGGGTCAGTGGGTGAGTAGAGTATTGCAAGGCTGATCTATTATTTATTAATAAAAATCATCCAAAACAAGCCACTTATGTCTGAGGAATAAAAGGAAGCATGAGTATTTAGATATGTTTCTTGGTCAATGGAATTACTCCATATAAGGGTTGCTATCTCATGCCCTTTATGAATTAATACATCTGGTCACAGAGTGTTATTAAAAATATAAAGTATATAAAAATGCAAATATTGAGTAAATCCATAGTAACGTCATTGACATATCCCAGTACTGCAATCTCGGCACAATTAGATGGTTTCTTCATTACAAGAAGTTCACCAACAGCTACATGCATACACAGACCAGGATGACTGGTGCCTCAGAAATACCTAAAATAGAAAGCTGAATAAGGACCATTCAAATGTTGAATATTTTTAAGCTATTAGGCTACACTGAAAGAAATGCAGAAATGTTTACAAAGTTTAGTGGATACTGATTTACTTGGAGATGGAATGTGATAAGTTTAATTTGCAATGTCCAGCAAGGTTTATGGGGGCAGTGTAGGGTTATAAAAGCTTGCAAATAGCAGCCTTAATCCTGCAGTTCTGACACAAGCAAAATTCCCATTGGCTTAAATCAGCTCTTATTGCAACATTTCTACCATTTGGGGTGAAATACTGCAAGGACAGTTCATGAGATTTCAGTGTTGTCAAATCCAAACCTGCCTCAAACCCAAACCCTGAACTTTACCCTAAACCTAATCCCAATCGAAATCCAGATCCGAACACTGAATCCAGTCCCAGCTGCAGTGTCAGAGAGGGGCTTGTTCTAAACCAGCTTATTGGTCACGTTCTGCAGGTGCTGTTACAACCACAAAGCTAACCTTGGTGCATGAGAACCCTACAAACATGGGCAGACAGATACATGGGCCCCATGGACAGAATCACAATGTAGCTGTTACACTCAATGCCAGGAGCACCTGACCCGGCGATTGCAAAAGGAAGTTGGTCCCATGCAATAGTTTTTTTTATTTTCTTCTGTACACCAATGACTATGAAACCATGGGCCAGATTCAAAGTATGCCCTAATTGCTTTGCGCCACTCTGGTGTCACAAAACTCGCTCAGCTGGCCACTTAACCTTGCTTTACAGCTGTTTTGCATCAACAGAGCAGCAAAAACCAGGTGGAGACCATCAATGATTATGGGCCCAAGTTTCCAGACACATGCTGAAGCAGAAGAAAACAGGCACACTCACTACCCACTGCCATACTTCAGGGGAAACGAGGTTAATTCAGCTGCTGTTTACACAGAGGTGCCACTGTAGCCCACTGGCCGCACACACACACAGTACAAATAGGACAATTCTACACATGCAGAACAGCAGACACGTTTCTGCAGGAGAATGGAATTCAAAGGGTGGGAATGATGCATGAATTACTTTAAGGACAGTGATGCCATCCCACGCTTATATGGTCATAACTGAGTTGCACAAGTGTCCACACCATTCATCCCCAACTGTTTTTATGCAGCATGCCTGAGTGCAGCTCATTCAAGTCACTTAACCTCTCTGGTGGAGGAGGAGGTTCAACAACATTGGGAGAGCAATAGCAGCTCCACTCATCCGTTAAGTGCTGGAAAATCCACCAGGAGACCCTGGCCTGGCCTTTTCCCTGATCTCCTGCCTCAGTTCTGTGGCTTTATCAGACACAGAGTGTTTCCAGACCAGTGGTGCCTACCTTGGCCATGTCTAAGCCAGAAGGCACGGCAATGCCCTCCATGGATCAGCAGTAACATTCAGTGGTACTAGTGCAGCTTGTGTAACAGCACGATGGCAAAATGAGTCAGTGACCATCTCCTGTGAACTGGGGAACGTTAATCTTCCTGAGATCTGGGTCTTCAAATGCTAGCAGACTTGACAGCAGCTCCTCTTGGCGAGCCCTTAAGGAGACATGCACACTTGTAAGATTCTCCTTCAGTTGCTGTTTGTGTTGGCAGGTATCAGTCAAGCTATATGTATTCAACACATGAAAGTTACCCACAGCAGCATGATCACCTTCCTGGTGGGGTCTCTCAGCTTACCAGGCCCTATTTATTAAGTTTTTCTCCCAGAAGTTAGACTCTACAGTCACAACGCTGCTGTTAGCAGGGTGCCATGTGCCCCCCTCATAGCCAGATTGCTTCATCCTCTCCCTGATCATCAGGCCTAGTGTTGCTGCCAGGGTTCTGGCACTTCTTGGTGGAGCGAGATGTGCCATCTGTCTGGTACAATTCCAAGGAGACATCATCAATGGTGCCAGCACCATTCCTGCCATAAAAATGTTACCCCAAACCTTATCTTCACCCAGCACAAGTGTTGTATGTCTGATCCCTCCTGTAAAGCATGTGTCCCTGTAATGCTACCAAGGAGATCAGATCCCATATTGGCCTGTATAGATAATGACACCCACTAACATAGTGGCTCTCAGACTTTTTTACTGGTGATCCCTTCAACATAGCAGGCCTCTGAGTGCAACCCCCCCCCCTATAAATTAAAAACACTTTTTTTAATATATTTAACACCATTATAAATGCTGGAGGCAAAGCGGGGTTTGGGGTGGACAGCTCGCAACCCCCCATGTAATAACCTCCCGACCGCCTGAGGGGTCCCGACCCCCAGTTTGAGAACCCCTGCACTAACGCTATCATGGAACAGCACTCAGGTTATTGCTGTCAGGGCTATTGACCCTGGCTTTTTGCTGGCATGACCTGAAGGCAAGGTGTGAGAAGTAGCATCCATAGTAGGGCATCCCTCAAGGCACATGAAGACTTAACTCTTCTTTTGTAAGAATCATTCCAAGTGGGTTCATTATTCTACTCCCGGATTACAACCTACTATTAAAAGCAGATCTAACAATGGAACTCTACCATGTCTGGACACACTACTGTATTAACCGATTGATAACTCCAAGTATGAGAGCCATATGGCGGAGGATAAAGGTGAAACATGTTCAGACTTGCTCCTAGGCATGTTTCTACCAACTATCTCAATACACCTGATTCCTTGTCCCACCTGATTCCTTCTCTGCCATCAGCACTGGATGGTGTCACTTGCAAGAGGAGGCTTTCATAGTTCTAGTGATGTCTTCTCTGGCATCCAGAAGACTATGTTGAAATGGACACGAGACTGCTGGATGTAGCTCATGGACCAGTCACAGCATGAGTACCACCTAGATGAGAAACACAAATTAAATGCAATGTGAGAAAGTGGTGGCATGCTTCAGAAGAAATTATTGGAGTACTGGGCGTAATAGGATTCCAGGAGCTTCAGGGGACTAATTTACCACATATAGACACTGAACTGCAGGCCAGATTGCAGGAAACATGCCAATACCTTGCTGTTCCCCTGCACTCCCATCATGCAGCAATGGATTATGGATACACAACCAAAGGGAGTTAATACAGTATGGATGAATCTAAGGCCATACCATACCACTAGGAAAGTGAGGTCAGAGAACACCAGATGAACAAGTCATGTTAATCATAGCAGCCCCATGTAACCAGTGGCCAGAAACAAAATAAGTGTCAGCGTGCAGGGCAGACAGTGCAGCTTGACAACAGTATAAGGGAGGCAGAGCTGCATTACGTGTCGCTATCTGCACATGGCCACACAGTGAGCAGAAAGGAACAGCACTGGTGACAAGTCTTTACTTACCAGACAGCGTTTCCAGCCACAGAGGACTCCAACTATGACAGGATGCTTCATGACAATGGCCCCCTTTTGAGATGTAAGTGGTTGGCATGGAACTGGTCTCTCACAAGTTGCTTCTAAGTCCTTGTAAGAGTTGGGCAAACCCTTTTTCTCCCCAAACCAGCTCGTACTTCAGCAGAGTGGTCACAACTACCAATGGCATTTATAGCTGCACAGGTCTCCTTCCATTTCCTCCTCTTTGCAGCCTGGCCCCTTCGTCTCTCCCCCTTTCTGTGCACGTGGTATTGCAAGATATCGCTATTTGGTTTCCTTCTTCAAGACGATTCACTGCTAAATCCCTAATAGATCTACCCCTGCCTGACTTGGGGTTGAGCATAGGTGTGGCTCGGAACAGCTGGAAATGATCCAAAGTTCCTCTCCCCTTTCCTAGTCTGCTGCTGTTCACGCTGGCCCTTTCACTTGCACCTACCTTTCCGCAATTGCTTTCCCTGGAGACATGGGACTTGATTTTACTCTGACTTGCTCTAGTGAGCACCAGAACTAACTCACACAAATCTCGAATTACACCAGTGCTCGCCAGCGTGAAAGACGAGTCAATCCCAATGGAGACATCATGCTCTGTAGACAGGGCACCTATCGCTGCTCTACTGTATGTCTCACTTGGACCTCAACTGAACGACCCAGAAGAACTTACTATTTCTGGGTAGGGGTAGCAGTCAGTTAGAATGTAGGACATTGGCCTGTCACACCAACCATTCCATTCCCATACACCAGACCTGTCAGAGCTCCTTGAGCTGCTGATCCAGACATTCCAAAAACACTATGTTCCCATTTTAGGCCTGATCTTCAAAGGCGCTGAGCCCCTGCAGCTCCAATAAGATTCAGCTGGAGGTTTGAAGGGCGAGCACTTCAGAAAAGTCGGGTCATAGATGCGTTCAGCCATACATTGCATCACAGAAAAGAGATTGGGGAGGACATAGCATCCTGGGTCCACACTGATGTCAGTGGCTTGAGTGGTGCATAGTTCACCATGGTTGAACTTGGAGCAGATGCAAAAAAAAAAATTTTGTTTCAGTAAAAAATATCCCTAGCATCATATGCTCAAAGTATGGTCAACCCATGTGTAGGGACACATATTCTCCTCTGACATGACTGAGTTGCATCAGGGCTGCTCCTCACAGTCTATGTATCAATTTCCACATCCGCAGTTGTCTCCACAAATATGTGATTGCGTGTGCTTAGTATAGTATGTGTCAAGATGTGTGAACAGGGATGGGGAAGTGTGTGTGGTGATGTGGGTAGGACTTGTGGGTGTTGTGAGAGGATGGTTGCAGGCCATGAGTATGAGTATACATATGAGTATGTATGTGAGGGGACTGCGCTTGTAGGGTAAAGTATTGGGGGCTGTTTATAGTACAAGTGTTAATAACTACAGTGGCAGGGCAGGGCTGTGCCTGTAGCGTGATTGGCTTTGATACCAATTTGAAAGATTTCCTGTATGTACTCACCTATATATCTGGTTTTGTAATCGTGTCTGTGGGGCAAATACCCTGTGGTTAAGCACTGAGACTACAGTACTTGGCCAGTGCCCCTGTTGTTGGGGGGATCGTTTTTACCAACGAGAGCAGGCTGAAAATTTTCTGTCAGAACTTCAGTTTGATGAAAAATTATTTTCGACCAAATGGAAATGTCCAGGAAGACAGAAAAGTTGTGTTTTTTTTAAAAGTTGTGGATTTTCATTGTTTAAAAGCCCCCAGACCTAAAACTTTTTGGTTTTCAGTTATTTGACAAACACCCCCCTTGCAAAATTGGATGAAAACAAAAAAACCTTTTTTATCCAAAGTTTTGGCAGAGGAAAGAAAAAACACAAAACCATATGTTTCTTGACCAGCTCTACCTAGACTATATCAGCCGGTGAGTCGCTCCCTGATAACCAGCCTGTTTCTGCACCTAAATCCAGCATTTCGCCAGCACTGATGTGGTGTTTGCAGCAGGGATGTAATCAGCGCTATGAATTTATGTGACTCGTGGTTGAACCCTATTCCTTCCTAACTCTGCAGAAGGCATTTGGGGCGTTGGTCACATATTGCTTATGCAGCTTGCCACGTGTGCACTTTTGAGGGTGATTTTTTCGCCTTGCATGATCTTTTGCAAAAGAAGAGCCATTCGGGGCCACGGACTGTAAAAGAAAAGGAGGGGGTGGGAGATGATGGGCGTGGGGGGAAAGGTTTGTGGTTTGAAGTAGAAATAGTGCTCTAGTTCTGCATCTGAAAGAATGGGGGCTTTGTAAGAGAAAGGGAGGGGACGTGTAAACCAGCAGCAATATGAGAAGAAGCCGAGGCCAGACTTAAAGCAAGGGAGATATTGCCAAGATTTCATGCAAAGAGAATGAGGCCTGGAGCAGAGACAATCTTTGGGGAGTGAGGGGGAATTGGGAGAAGAGAGGAATGCTGGATCAACACACAGATGATGCAATCCTGGCAAGACAGCTGTGTCAAGCGTCCAGCTTCAGGAAATCTGACCTTGCTTATAGCATAGCACATTTAAAATCACCTTTGCTTTATTTCTTACAAGTTATAAACTAATCTATTTAGTGAGGGAAATGGGCCCCTAGTCTCTCCCCTTTTGTGGCCTCTTCACTGCATTCCAGCAGCATGTAAAGGCCATAAAGGAGGCAGAATGGCCCCCTGGGAATAAACCCTGGGAGCGTGAGGCTACATCTTGCATCATATCCCTTTTGCAGCCCTCAGTTCCGGGGCAAGTAAGGGATGGATTAGAAGTGTATGTGAAGGGGCTGACTCACCACTAGCACCTCTTTGTGGCCAGGCATGGCATAGCAGCTCTCTCCTTGTCAGATATCTCTAGCCCAGGGGTGGCCAACCTGAGCCTGAGAAGGAGCCAGAATTTACCAATGTACATTGCCAAAGAGCCGCACTAATACATCAGCAGCCTCCCATCAGCTCCCGCCCCCGCTCCCAGTGCCTCCTGCCCACCGGCAGCCCCGCCAATCAGCGCCTCCCCCTCCCTCCCTGCACCTCCCGATCAGCTGTTTTATGGAGTGCAGGAGGCTCTGGGGGTGTGTAGAGGCAGTGGAGCGAGGGCATGGCAAGCTCAGGGGAGGGGGTGTAGTGGGGGCAGGGCCTGTGGCAGAGCCAGGGGTTGAGCAGTGAGCCCTCCCCCCGCCCTATGAGAAAGTTGGCGCCTGTAGCTCCAGCCCCAGAGTCGGTGCCTGTACAAGGAGCTGCATATTAACTTCTGAAGAGCCGCATGTGGCTCCGGAGTCACAGGTTGGCCACCCCTGCTCTAGCCAATGATTGCTCCAGGCCTGCAGTTGTCTGCCTCTTCCTTTGACTTGGCCCTCCGACCAGATCACTTTAAAGTCTCTCCCCACCCGTGGTAGAGAACGAACAAAAAACAAGGGGAATTAATGGAAATGACCTGAGTTTACAGGTAATAGTGGAGAATGGTGCCATGAGCATCTGGCCATCCCTTTCTTCAGGGAGGGGCCATCAGTCAACTGGGGAGGGGACACCTTCAGCCAGTCCTCTCTTCAAGAGCTGAAGTTTAAAAATCTGATCTGCTCCCCTCCCTGGTCTACCACCCACTGAGCTGGGGGTCTCTCTCTTAAGCACCTCCCTCTAAGCCTGACACTGCTCACAGGTGCAAGGATGCACAGCCATCTGAGCCTACATTAGCTCATTAACCCCATATTGTCCAGTCTGGGGTTTCTATACCCCATCACAGAGCGGGAGAGGGCATGGTGCATTCCGGCTATCCTAGGCTGGTGAAGTAACGCAGAGGTGAATATCAGAAGCTGGTATAACTTAGAGCTGTCCCCGAGATGGCTGTAAGTTGTGCCAGGGAACAGACAGGTCTCCAGCAGGACCCAGCAGATGCAAACGTGGCTTAAAGGTATCTCACATTGTCCATCGCACCTGAGTTGAGCCCCTGAGAGAGAGAACTCAGAATTAGGGTGGAGGCCTGAACTGAATATTCAGTGACTTTTTTCACTTTAAAAAACATTATTTCTGAATAAATGCTTTCTGTGATTGCCAGATAAATATTTCCTGAGCTATTTCAAACCTTGGTGAAAAGCTCTCTAGAGTTTTCAAGTTCCATAGGAAGAAGAAAAGGAGTACTTGTGGCACCTTAGAGACTAACCAATTTATTTGAGCATGAGCTTTCGTGAGCTACAGCTTGGCTTAAGAGAAGGGTAGTTATCAGAGTCTTGTGGCGGTGAAGGGGTGTCTGTTTCAATGGTCCAGTTGGATTTCAGGCCTCAGTCATTCCTCTTCAATGAGCAGCTTACAAGCTGCCACTGTTCTCAGATTTCATTACTAGAATTTGTGTTGTTCTGGTTGGTTTTCCTTGTGCCTCAAATAGAAATCGGCAAGATTTAAGTACAAATTGTAAGGGATTTTTTCACACATATTTTGCTCCGGTTTCCTGGAATCCAAGAAAAAGAAACGTGCTAGAGCAACCCTTTAAAAAAAAACACACAAATACCAACAAAATAGAAGCCTGTTCCCATCATTAAGTGCTGCATTCATGCTGCATACAGTAAAACCACACCCACTATATACTGAGAGGCTGCAACAAAACCCACTGCAGGATAAGGATTCTGACACAACAGCCTTGCAGCGGCTAAGAACCAGCATCCAGCACCCCTTCTAGCGAGAAAAACATGGTAAGTGTTTAAAAAAAAATTATTTTCATGAATCAATGGCACAGCTGTGATGTGTTGACTTACAGGCTTCTTATAAAAATGTTTGCATAGTGTGGAATCATGAATGCTTAGCCAATGTAACTCTGCAACTGGATCTACCTGATTTGTACTCAGATTAACTGGAAAGTGTTCCTTATATTCCTTACCGGAACACCTACTGGTATTTGTTTATCAACATTTGGGGGCAAGCGCCACCTTTCCTGACATCTGCTGATACTTACAACGGATCACTTGTGAAAGGTGAATTCTGCATGTCTTAGTGATGCATAGTTTGGCAGGGTACTTTCCAGCATTGTGTTGCTGTAGAGGATTTGGATTCTCCAAAGCTCACAGTGAGTGAGGGCACTGACAGACTGAGAGTAAATATAATCAGGCCCAGGGCTTTTAGTCACTTACTTTTCATCTATTTGCTATCCCCTCTAAATTAAGTTCTGTTTTTGACAATAGACATTCTGCTTTGAGCGGGAATATCTGTCAGAGCTAGGGTAACCAGACAGCAAATGTGAAAAATCGGGATGGGGGTGAGGGATAATAGGTGCCTATATAAGACAAAGCCCCAAATATCAGGACTGTCCCTATAAAATCAGGACGTCTGCTCACCCTAGTCAGAGCTGGTGGTACTTTTGATCAGAACTGAAAACATGTTTAGAAGAATAAATCTGAAGAAGCGACAAGTAAATATCTTTGGTCCCAGTACAACTGAAAAGACTCTTAAGTGTTCTTTTTCACCCACAGATATCTACATTTTTTGCATGCTGATGCAGTCACCTCTAACTGCACAGGTTACGGAACAGGTCATGTGCCTCAGTGCCACAGACAAATTTTAAAGAACCATTTCCATGATTTCAAAAATATTTCTAGTGACTAGTTACAAATGAAAGAAAGGAACAGCACAAAGTGAACAGAATGAAAGCAGCATTCCTGACACTTTGTGACCTCGTGATTGGATCAGAGATTTCAATCTGAAGAGCCTCAAAAAGGTCACATATAAAGCAAAAAGCAAATGGTGCTGTTATTGCATACTGCAAGTATATGGTATGTAACTTGATTTCAACTAGCCTAGCATGCACCTAGAATTTCTCTTACTGAACTATCCCTTACATTGGAGCGGGTTTGTATTATGTATGGTCTATGACTGCTCAACTGTGATGTTAAATTAATAGACTTGGGGCTCAATCCTGCAAGATTATGAATACCCCTACCCTGATCCAGCAAAACTCTTAGGCCGATACTTAAATACATCAGTAGTCCTATTAAGCCAATGGGACTGCTCACATGCTTGAAGTTAAGCATGTGCTTAAGAGCTTTACTGGATTGGAGATTCAATTTGTAGATAATTCACATTTTTTTATTTTTATATATTTTTCAATCAGATTGTCCTACTTCCATATTGTCCACCAATTATAAGCAGTTTGGAGTAGCCTACTGTGCAAAACACCCGGTTCCAGACCCTCAAGCTCCCTTGACCAGTATTGCTCAAGGTGATCCATCTGGCCAGTAAAGGAAAAGCAACAGTGAGCTATGGAGAGGGTGAGGTGAATCCTCCTTGTCCAGGAAGATGGTTCCAAATACTGACATAATTAACAATGGAGAAGGCAGTGCAGGAGAACACAGAGGAGAGAGAAAACTGGCTAACAAGCCCATGCTGGGAGAGATGGAGGGGATGGAAATTAGAGGCTACATTTTTTAAGTTATTGATGTAACAATTTTAAAAATGTATTTACACTTCAAAAAACTCCAGAAAAATGTCATTGCCCAATCAAATATCGTGGTGTGTGCAACACATTGAGCCAGATCCTCAGCTACTGAAAAACAATGTAATGGAGCTATGTGAATTTACCCCTCCAGAAGATCTAACCTACTCCCTTCTCTGGCTTTCAGTTTACCCAACCGGCATGGATCTCTGATCTTGTGGGCTGAACTTCTGATGACTCCCAGGAAACAATATGGGACAATTTCCATAAGGTTCCCTCACTGAGGTTTTCCTTCCCATAGGTCCCTTCCTGCAGCTTTTTCAGTGGGAAGGGGAAATCTGGCCCAGGAATCTCAGAGGGTAAACTGAGACTAGAGATACCAACACTGACTTTTGTATGTTCCTACAATTCAGGAGATAATCACGGGATACAAGTGATTTCCCAGAGTTTGGCAAGTCAAAGAACTGCTATCAGGCATTTCACAGGTTTCAGTTTATTTCAGGGAGAAGAAGACAAAAAACCTAGAAGACCCACAGTAAGTGGACTGAGTGATTGGGGACTGCATTTCACTATTCAGTAAAGTAGTAGGAGGTTATAGTTTGATCACAAGCCTGATTCTGCTCTCACTTTTAAAATGGTGTAAATCAGGAATACCTCCACTGAAATCAACAGAGTCCCACCAGTGTAAAAGTAATGTAAGTTAGAGGAGGATCAGATCCTACATATTTGCTACCTGGCATCTCCTTTTCAATACTATATATTTATAACCTCCAAAATATTTTTTTAAATAGTAAAATATACTAAACAATTATGGGCCTACTCCTGCAATCTGATCTATGAGGGTGACTCCCATGCATCTATATGGACTTCCTTCAATGAGATTCCACAACAGCATAAAGGTTCACTTGCATGGAGCAGACTGCAGGAGTGTTTTATCTGTAGGGCCAAAATTCAGATATGCAAATATTAATCGGAATGTTTGCATTAATTACACATAAAAATCCAATGAAAACAGCTTTTGTTTGGTTGGTTTTTTGGTTTAGTCTTGTAAACATTTCATTTAACTGTTTTCAAACCAAAGAGCCCAAAGGGGTCTCTTCTTGATTTTGATCAGAGTTTTTCATACTGCAGGACTGAGCTCAGACCTTGCCAAAAATGAAACAGCCCAGTCTACCATCATCCAAACTGAACACAGGCCCCAAAATGCATAAACATAGGAAAACAAATCTGTTTTCTAATTCTTTCATATTTAATAATCCTGGGCCACATTTGGTATGGTACTTAAGTACATGCCTGACTTTAAGTAGCCCTTTAAGTTAGGCATATTTATAGATTCAAAGCCTAAAGGAACCACTGTGATCATCTAGTCTGCATAACACAGGCCACAGAACTTCCCTGAATTGATTCCTGTTTTGACTACAGAACATCTTTCAGGAAGAATCCAATCTCGATTTAAAAATTGCCAGTGATGGAGAATCCACCAAAACCCATGGTAAATTGT